CACTGTAATTTTATGGTGCTGCTCTCACCATCAGGTAAAGGGAAGAACTGCAGCATGCTGGCCTCTTACACTCTAAAACAGAAGCCACAGGACCATTAAAAACTGTGTGCAGGCTGGACTTTGTCCTAAATGTCCTAATTTTAGTGTTTTTTTGCATTTTATATCTGCATATACATTTGCATTTATACCTAGGTGTATTTTATACAACACCATTTCCAAAAAAGTTGGGACGCTGTGCAAAATGTAAATAAAAACAAAATGCAATGATGTGCAAATCATTTAAAATCTAGATTTAATTGAAAATAGTATAAAGACAACATATCAAATGTTAAAACTGAAAAAGTTTACTGTTTTTTTCGAAAATATATGCCCGTTTTGAATTTGATACCAACAAAACGTTCCAAAAAAAGTTGGGACGGGGGCAACAAAGGTAAGGTTTTGTAATGCTAAAAAAACACCTGGTGGTTAATTGGCGACAGGTTAGCAACATGACTGTGTATAAAAAGAGCATCTCAGAGAGGCTGACACTTATAGAAGTAAAGATGGGGAGGGGTTGACCACTGTGAAAGACTGCACAGGCAAATAGTGCAATTATTTAAGAACAATGTTTCTCAACATAAAATAGCAACGAACTTGGTGATTATCATCTACAGTACATAATAACATTAAAGGATTCAGAGAATCTGGAGAAATCTCTGTATGTAAGGGACAAGGCCAAAAAACAATATTGGCTAGTTGTGATCTTTGGGCCCTCAGGTGGTCTTGTATTAAAAACAGACATGATTCTGTCGTGGAAATCACTGCATGTGCTCATGGAACACTTCTGAAAATCACTGTCTGTGAAAACTGCATCCACAAATGCAAGTTAAACTCTATGACGCAAAGAAGAAACTATATATAGACAGGATCCAGAAACACTGCCACCTTCTCTGGGCTCAAGCTCATTAAATATGAGCTGAAGTAGAAAATGATCCTGTGGTCCGACGAATCAGCATATGAAATACTTTTTGGAAATCATGGACACTGTGTCCTCTGGGCTAAAGACAACTCGGCTTGTTATCAGTGCACAGTTCAAAAGCCAGAATTCATGAGGATATGAGGGTGCATTAGTGCACATGGCATGGGTGACTTGTACGTCTGTGAAGGCACCATTAATGCTGAATGATATATACAGGTTTTGGCAACATATGCTGCCATCCAGATGGCGTCTTTTTGAGGGAAAGCCTTGATTATTTCAGCAAGACAACGGCAAATCATATTCTGCATGTATTACAACAGCATGGCTCTATAGTATAAGTGTCCGGGTGGTTGGAAGGTTGCACCACATGACATTTTTAGACTTTTGGAGGCAAAAAGAAACTAAAGGGTATTTTATATGGATGTACTGAAAATTGTTTCACATAAAAGACATACTGTTGAATAATTTGATATATGTCAGGTATGTATTATATCATTGTTTGGGAAAATAATGATCTTGGACTCAAAAATTGCATGTCATGTCAGTGACTCATATGTAAATGACCTCTTTACATTGATTGGCTGTGCCTCATTCAAAAAGCACTCAGACCTGGAACACTCCATAGAATTTCAATTAGAGTGGGCAGGGCTAACCTGCTGTAGGCTGAATAGGTACATATATGCAAATGAGTTCTCGTGACATCACAGAAATGTTTTCAATGTATTCAACACAGGCTGTTTTTGCATTTTCATTTTTGCAAATGAAGATTTTCATTCCAAACTGCAGTTTATCCATTTATAACAAACTTGGATTTAACAATATTTGGTTTCTGAAAAAATAACAACTGTGGTATAATGGAAAAACCAAGATAATCCAGTAAAATCTGTGGCTCCAAAATAGCAATCTAACCCAATTTTTCAGATGTTTTTGTTTTTTGAAAGTAACAGTACAGTCCAAAACTTTCCTGACTGAGTTCCTGCATAGGACTTTAATGGTGAAACACCATTAGCATTGCTGTCCAGTCCTAGACTAGGTTTAATCTATGTCCAAGAAACCAGCTCTTAGAGATGTGAAAGAAACCATTAAGAGCATTACAACTTATTGAAAACACTGCATTCAATTCTAAATGAAACAGGCAAACAAATTCAGTAATTCTGCAACAGCTCAAAGGTTACTAACAACTAAAAGTCTGTAGTGTTGCTACCTTTTTGTACAAGTTCTACTCTCTGCAGTATTTCTTAGCAAGCTGAAAAGAGGTAAAGGTCAAAAACCAAATAAAGTTTCTGAAGTGAAAGAAAGTTGATATTATCAATGTGCAAGTTAAATGTGAACTCTGTGTTGAGAATGATAAATATATCTGTAACGTCTGTGCTAAAAAAGTAGAAGTAGAATTTCCTCTTTACGTTTGTTCATTGTTTTTATTTAAGGACTATCAGACTTAGAAAGCTAGACAGACAGTGCATCATCTGATAATCTGGTGTTCATTAGTGTAGCTATGATACCTGAACCCAAGCTCTGGGACAATTCTCTGTGTGTGGCCTATACTGGAACAAAAGAGGAGGGGACTCAGTACTGACCTCTGTGGTACACCAGTACTGTCTTCTAGTTAAATGTGTTGAACCAATTTGGAACAGGTCCAGAAAGCCCAATCCAGTCTGTCATACAGTTAGAGAATATACAGGAGCATCAAATGCAGGACTTCAATGTTTGCAGTAGTGTTTGTCTCAGATCATCTGCTACATTTATTAAATGGCAATAAAAGTAAAGGTACTTAGTCTGAAACTAGAGTGATATTTGCCACAAATGTTATTTTAATTGAGGAAGTTAATTGGCTATAATTACTTTTTTATCTTTACTCTGACAGTACATTACTCAGTGCTGATTACTGGGATTATGATTTTTGGGGTTGAGATTTAACAAATGCTGTTTTAGGTGCTTCTGGAAAAATGCATGTTTCTAAAGAGTAAGTGGGTTATTCCACAAACTAATTGTTAACTATTAATAAAAAAGGATTACATGTCAAAAGTGTATTATTCAGTAACTACAACACTAGCTGGCTAAATTTTTCCGACATTATGGGTGTGAGGAAGCCTAATAGATGATTAGGCATGGAATAACCCAAATGATAATGTTGAATATTTTTGGAAATATCAGTGTCAATCACATATTTGAGTTCATTGAATTTTATGTTCATTTGAACACCCTTGGTCAAATGACATGTTTTGTTGATTTTCTAAGTGAAAATAAGTTAACACACACTTTATAATGTTATATGCCATAACTTTTGCACAGTCCACATTTTGTGATTTATTTTTTAGATTAAATTCAGCAAATAAAGTGATCATGCATTAAAATTTGCAGTTTGCAATTTCTCTGTACAGGATGTGTTCACTCATTTTCACTTAGAAAATCAACAAATGGAATTTGACAAGGGCACCCAAAAATTTTGCACTGTAAACATTTCTCACATTTCTAACTAATCTGAAAGATAAAAGTGTAAAGCGTGATTCACTTTCCTCTTTTTTTTTCTTCACTTTTCTAGGCCTTGTCAAGTAATGGACAGACACAAACTCTTCCTAACTGGTAAAGTTTGCTTTCAATCATGACTTTACTTGCCTACATTATGAAAGTGATTACAAAATGAATGTGCCAATCATCTCACATTCATTTTCATGCTAAAATCACTAAAATTTCTCTCTGGGGATTTTGCTTTACTTATAGCTAAAATAATGAAGCACCAGAGCATTGGTAGCTGAAATGTTATTTTAATACCAGCAGTCGAATATTCTAGGATTGTGGAAAATGTTGCAAGTCTTTATTTATTTATTTTTTTTATTTTGGTTCAGTAGTGACCTCATGACTTATCATCTCTCTTCATCTCCACAGTTTCAGTGTTGAGCTGTCTGTGTCATGGCTGGAAGGTTCAGGTGCCAGAATCGGTTGAAGCTTTTAAGGGCAGCTGTGTGATGCTATCATGCCAGACCAGCCCACATGATGAAGTGAAATGGTACAAGTATAAAAGAGCAAGTTGGTCCCCTATAGTGTACTCCAACAACACTGCAGATGTAGTAGATGACTTTAGAGGAAGAACATCAGTGCCTGGAAATCCTAGTCAGGGAGACTGCACCCTGCAGATCAATAATGTCCGCCAAGAAGATAACGCAATATACCTGTATCCATGGATCTTTCCAGAGACATCTAGCAACCAATATAAATACATCCTAATAAATGTTGGTGAGTATACAAACAATACAAACATCCAAAACCTGCAGCCAGGAAAATGAGTATTGAAACTATCAAAATGTAACTTGTTAGTTTTTTATTTATAATGGTTTAGTTCATGTGCCTCTTCATATAATACACACTTCGTTATACCATACCTTTTAAAAGATAGCATTCTTGTTTTCCTGCATTTTTTGTAGAAGCGTAATGACTTTTGCCTCTTTTTAACTTTTCACCTCTAAAACATCTGAGTTTTAATTACATCACTGTGTACCAGCAGATGGGAAAATAATATTACAATATAATATAATATGTTATTATCTCCACCTCTGCCACCCCCACCTGTTACCAAGAAAAAACACTCAGCCAGCTCAGAGACCCTCCCCAATACCATATTTCACTCCCAAATATGTCAAATGCATCATTATGATTTCCCATTCACTATGATTTTAAATGACTTTTAAATTAATAATTACACACGTGATTATGATTTTGGACTACGAAAGTCTTCTGACCAATTAATATTAATATTTGTGCTTTGATTCCAGTGAACCCTGAGGTTAGCATTTCCGTTGAGAACACACAAACGGATGGAAAGTTATTCTCTGCCAACTGCACAGTCCAGTATTCCTGTCCATCGTCCCCACCACCGGTAGAATGGATGGGTTTGTCTTACATTTCTAACAACGTTACCAGCACTGTGGTCTCAGGAGGACTGTGGACTTCGGTGGCACATGCTCAGTTCAGAGCAAACCGTCTAGACCACAACAGAACACTCAGCTGCAACAGCACATTCAACGGCAAATCTATATATAGTACAACTGTTATGCTCAACATCTTATGTAAGTAAAATTTACAAGCTGTCATGTTTTCTTCACTTTGTATTGTTAAAAGTTGTGAACCTCAGAGCGATGTTTCATTCTTTCTGTGTAGATCATAATTCAATGCAATGTACACCAGAATCAGACAAAATCATTTCTCAATGTATTTTGTAATAATCAAAATACATATAAAGGGAATGTAAAAATAGGAAAAATGATATACAACTAAGCATGTTTATCAGTATCTTGTAGGTCCTTCTTTACTCATTTAAAATTGGTTATTAGTGAGCTAACTCTGTGTGCGTATCTTCTAGGGCTAGTTATATATATCCAGATTAAGCCTAAGCCTAGACAAAAAAAAATTCCAATGGTGATTCACCATTAGCCCTGCAGTTTGGTCGAAGACTAGGCATAGCCTCTTTCTGCAGCCCTGCTACTGACCATTCCACCAGTGGACTTGTATATTTTTAGATAATAACTCCATGAAGCTCTCTGCTTGTGAAATGTGTGTGTTGAGCTGCTAGGGAGCAATGAAGAGTGAAAGGCGAGGGGTGAGAACCCTCTACTCCCAAAACAATTCACTTCTCTCAACTAAGAGAGCTCCAAAACATGAGGAAATTGCATTTTATGGCCATTGTGAAAAAGACTGATGTCCAGGAAACCAGCTCCTCATGTTGGCCTGCTCAGCTAATTTAAAGCGAAATTGTCCAATAGTGAAGCAGACTGTCCTTTTTTTCTTTAACCATCCACCAGAAGCCTCCACTATGAAAGCTCCTCATAAAGCACAGCTACTAACAAACGATAACACTAATTTGTTTTTGTGACGCTGAACAAGCTCAGAAAGACGCTCGCAGATCTTTAAAAACAACAGCTGGTTTAATGAGAGAACCAAGTCAGGGCAAATCCAAAAACAGCATCCAAAAACAGGCAAAAGTCAAAAACCAGAAAACACAAATACACAGGCAACCAGAGCAGAAAGGGCAAATCCAAAAGAGAAACAGGCAATGGGTTCGGTACACAGGTCATGAAAATAGAACATAAACGCTCAGTGACCAGTAGTGTGGCAATACCTCACAAAGAGGAGACCAAACCAGGATCCTTTTAAAGTCTAAGGAAAACAGATACAGGTGTGTTGAATCAGTACTCAGGTGATTGAGAACGAAGTAGAGGCCTGTGATTGGTGGAAGGGGTGATGTCATGATGATTGGGATTCTGGGAAGTGGAGTCCTGCAGTGTGTTAGGCAAGGGAGGAGAACCCAGAAGTGTGACAGTTTTCTAGTTTCCCTGTGTCATTTGTTTACATCTACCATGTGCCTTTGTTTTCTAGTGCCATGTGCTTTTGATGTTGTGTTAGCTCCTCCCCTGTCCTGCCCTGACTTCAGCCTTCGCCTGATCCTGGTTTCCTAGCCCCACCCACTCATTAGTCTCAGGTGTTCCTTGTCTTCTGTGTTAGTATATATATCCCTGTGTTTCTTTTGTTCCCCAGCCAGCATTGTTGTATGTTCCTGGTTTAGGTTTGTGATCTTAAAGTTCTTGTTTCCCTGCTTGAGTTTTCTTTGTGTAAGTCTAGACTTTGTGTTTCATAGTTTTCCTAGTCAGTTCGTGTTCTTGGTAGTTCCCTTTGTTGCCATGTTTTGGTGTGTTCTCCATGGATCCCAGTACTATTTATCTGCCTACCTGTCATTTGGATTATCCATGTAATACACTTGTGCTTGTACTCCACCTCCTTGTCTGCCTTGCCAGCCAATGCTTTACACTACCATAGTATGAAATTTTATAAATTTTATAAAGGAACAGCTTCCCTTCCCTCTACACTGCTGTTCTCTGTCTATTCAGACAGATTTTGTTTTCCACTTATGCTATATGGCCAAAAGTCTGTGGACACCTGACTATTGCACCTCTATGAGCTTGTTAGACATCCCTTTCCAAAACCATGGGCATTACTATGGAGTTGCCCCCTTTTGCAACTATAACAGCCTCCACTCTTCTGGGAAGCTTTCCAGAAGATTTTGGAGTGTGTCTGTGAGAATTTGTGCCCATTCAGTCAAAAAAGCATTTGTGAGCTCAAGCACTGATGTTGGAGTGGTAGGCCATCTACATTACAGTTCATCTCAAAGGTGTTCAGTGGGGTTGAGGTCAGGGCTCTGTGCAGACCACTGGAGTTCCTCCACACCAAACTCCTCAAACCATGTCTTTATGGAGCTCACTTTGTGCACAGGGGCTCAGTTATGGTGGAACAGGAAAGTGCCTTCCTCAAACTGTTGCAACAAAGTTCGCAGAATATAATTTCTTAAAATGTCATTGTATGCTCTGGTTTGACCGCAGCAAAAAAACTGATAGTTCAACGTTGGATGCCCCCTTATACGTTGCATAGTAGAAAGTGGTTATTTTATTTTCATGATATAGTTATGATGGAGCTTTCTACTGCTAGAATTCACAATGCTAAGGCTCCAACAATCCAAATATGGGAAAATCTGGCTAATAACATTAGTCAATTACTTAATGTATGATTAAAGGGTTTGAAAATGGTAAATCAGGGATATAGAGTAACTTACACTCTAATCCACGTAAAGACAGGACAGCAGATTATTCTCTTTGATTTCACTCTGTTAACTCCACCAATTTTGTTAGAAAGGGTATGCATGCATACAAGTGCACGTGTCTATGTATATGGACACATACACTAAGCTATTGTAAATTTATGATGTTTATCTTTTGTCTCTGCACTAATTGTGTCGATTTTCCAGCTGGGAGTGGGCGGGTGGGAGACTGGGGGTGGAGGAGGGGAAATTTAGGGGGAAAGCATTTATTTGTATCTGTGTTGTCATTGTACATTTTGTTTCTCTTTAGTATTGAAAATAAAATAAAAAATTAAAAAAAAAAAAAAAATGTCATTCTATGCTGTAGCATTGACATCACCCTTCATTATCCCATCAGCCCCAGTCTATTATCCCTCCTCCACCAAACTTTACTGTTAGCACTATCCATTCCAGTAGGTAACGTTCTCATCGCATCTGCAAACCTAGATTCATCCTTCAGATGGTCAGACAGTGAAGCGGGACTCATCACTCCAGAGAACACATTTCCACTGCTCCAGTGTCCAGTGGAGGCATGCTTTACACCATTCCACACACTTGGCACAAATTTTGATCTTAGGCTTGTGTGCAGCTGCTCAGCCATTGAAACCCATGTGGCAAAGGTGGCATCCCATGACAGTGCCATGTTTAAATCACTGAGCTCTTTAGTATGACTCGTTCTACTGCCAGTGTTTGTCTATGGAGATTACAAGGTTATGTGCTTGATTTTATCCACGTTAGCAATGGGTGTGGCTAAAACACCTGAATTCAATCATTTGGAGGGGTGTCCACATACTTTTGGCTATATAGTATATTTGCCACTACCTGTGCTACTGAACTCAGCTAACTCTGGACTGTTTACAGTGAAATAGTTTGTAGGTCATAAGAAATGCAGCGATAAAACATATAATCTATATCCACTGCATCTCCACAGACGCCCCTGAAGATGTTAAAATAGATGGAGCAGATAGAAGTGTGGTTGAGGGTGGTGCAATCTCACTCATGTGTACCAGTAAGAGCAACCCTGAACCAACAGACTACGAGTGGCTTGTTACCCAAAAGGGTTCCACCACGACCAAAACGGCACCAAAATCGTTTCCCCTTGAAGCTGTCAAACGAGACACATCAGTCTCCTGCACTGCCCGTAACTCCGCTGGAAGAGGTCAATCAAAGCAAGTACTGCTGAATGTCCACTGTGAGTATTTCCTTATTTGTTTTGATAATATTGTATTCAAAGTCCCTGTCAAAAGTCCCTGACTGAACCTCTGAACACATGGGCACAGGTAGATCTCAGACCCCTTCCCTATAGAAGTGCCACTTTTGTTGGTGTGTATAATAATTGTGTTTTATATGGCAGTTGTTCAAGATTCATTTCAGCAAGCCTCAGCTAGAGCTCCTGAGTCCAGCTTCATTGTACTTCTGGTGTAGTTCCGACTATAAATGCACACCTCAACACAGCACTGGAAATCCCGCAAATGAAACAGCAAACAATAACATCTCTTTAAGAAAGAATCACATTCAGAGGTGTATGATGCATGATCTTCTGGTTAGAAATGAAAGAATTAGCATTCCAATGTCAGGAGAAGACAGGCTAAAATATGGTGTTTGTGCTGCTGTGAAAAGTGTCACTGTGTAAAGTCAATAATCAATATATTGATGAAAATATGATGACAATAGTAGATCATTCACTCACGTCCGTTACCAATCTTGATTGATTTCTCTTTAAATTCTGTTTCAACATGCTTGCAATCATCAGATTCATCCTCTGGGGGAAGGGGTTCTCACGTCGACTGCAATTACACATTTCCACCAGAGAGGTCTCCAAATACTGTGGTCATTTTGAAAATAAACAATGTTTATATGGTTCGTTTTTGTGAATAGAGTTTGTGAAGGACAGAGTTTATATTTTTTATCTTTAGTATTATATATATATATATATATATAGCCTATTCAGTAGCAAGTAACAAACTGTAACTGTTAATTATTTTGTTAATTGTCTACTTCTTACTTTTCTTCAATGCCTTGCTGTCCCTTTGCTGCTGCAGCATTGTAAATTTCCCCACTGTGGGACTAATAAAAGATTATCTTATTTTTATTTTATACATATTTCATATTTACTACATATTTATTTTATTTATATAGACAATTTAGTTTGTAAATTTAAAAGAATTAAAGGAATTAAAGAAAAATGTCAAAATACTTAGTGATTCTAAGTGAAAAACATTGAGGATTATATTTAAAGTAAAATTATACTATGAATGTAATGCAAATGGTTTGTAGGCTATTTTGTGCTGTAAGTGTTAGCCAGGCTAGTCTTGCTAACTGTCACAGTATAGCCCTTAGCATGGGAGTTGGTCCATTAGTGGCACTGGAGCATCTCCTTACCTGGTAACATGAGCAAAAAGAAGAATTTGAACATTACCTTATTCGGTGCTATGAAGTGGTGCTTCATCAGTGAGGCTGTGTGAACAGAGCAAGGCAGCAGAGTCCAGTAGACCTATGAAATGTGAGTCTTTCTGTAGTCTGCATCATGCCCATATCAGGAACACCAGGTCGAAACTGGTTTGCTCTATGACGAAAATGAATGGAATGAAATATTTTTGAAAATCATCGTGGTCATGGCCCGTGGTCATTTAAAATGCCCCAAAGCCGAAACATTTTGTCCTATATACATTTTACTGGATTCCCTGAATTATAAGATTGTTTTGCAGTCAAATTACAACTACAAACATATTCCAAGCAAGCTAATGCTCATTCACACTGAAATCACATTGCATGAAAGTAAGTCTACTATTACCTTCAACACTATTATATACCAACACCAGCTACTGCAACCACAGCCTAAAACTGCCAAAGTCTTCAAACTACCACACTGACAAAGCTTGCTGGTTTGCATGGGATATTTTGGTGAAGTTATCAGTCTTATTATGTCTATTCAGTGTTCCTAATATAGGCATGAAGGCGACTACAGAATGATGACAAGAGATCTATGGGATTTGTCTACTTTAGAGTAATGAATAATGGCACTACACCAGAGCTTTAGAGCAGGGTGTCAAAAAGCACCTACTAGTCCATTAACAGATGAGTTAAATCAGGTGTGTTTGAGCAAGAACCAGAGTTAAAGACCCCTGCTTTAGAGAACTGAAGCTCAAATTTGTGATAGTAAGAACACCAGTGTGTTTTTCTGCTTCATGCACCTTTAGCCCTGGTTAACATGTTGAGCAGTGCAGCGTTAAGACTCAGTAGTCATGTCTGGTTTTCCTGTCCCTCAGTCCCTCCTACCATCCTGGTGAACTCAACATGCTCTGGGTCAGCTGGAGGTCTCCGGTGTGTGTGTCGAGTGGAAGCAGCGCCCAAAGCTAATGTTTCCTGGACAGTTAATGGGAGCAGCGCTCTTCTCCCACACTTCAGTACAATGACTAAACATGCTGGAGGGATAACAGTGTCAGAGCTGACAGGACCACCGGCCAGCAATGTGTCCTGTAAGGCGTCCAACATCGTGGGGACAGACACTTACCAGATGCCTATCCAGCATTCAGTGTCCGAAGGTAGTGCATTTCTAAATGGTGTGTGAGTGAAATGACACTAGACAGGCCATGCTGTGTTCTTTTATGTAGGCACATCGGTATCAAAATTAAAATGTAATATGCAATTTGCAATGTCTTTATATGTTTGCATTTCAATTTCCTACTCATATATGCAAGGTTGAATAAAAAAAAATAAAAATTCAATACTGTGATTTTAATCTGTCATTCGGTATTCTAGTATTGAGAGTTCATTTACACAGAGATTCAAATGCTTTATGAGTAGCTTTTTTTAAATTAAAATGTATCTCCAGAACTGCATATTTATGCTTAACGTTACTATGCAATAATTGTGTGAAAATGATAATTAAAATAGTTTATATTATATGCATTTTCACTCTCTAATAATGCATTTCATTTGCAGTAACAAAGAGAACATCAAGCTACAAAGAGGGCAGAATTTAAATGTAAAATGGGAAACAGCACCTCTCCTCTTTGAAATTACATATTCTCTCCTACTGCACTCCTACTGTGGCATTCCAAATGCATTCAACCACATTTTCATTTTCATGGACTTCCCAACCTGCCAATCATCTCATCAGAGCGGGGCCAACAGCACGCTCAGCGAAAAAGCCTTTATCTGAAAACGTGGCAGCCGAAGAGTTTATAGCTGCGCCTATGTTAGATGAAGAAGAGAAATATAATCAGTTGTGATGCTTAATGTCTTTATACATGACCCAATAGGCAGAACTTGGCTTCATTTTCACCTGCTTTTTTTTAATTAATTTTCCAGTCCACCTTAAACAGCAGTTATATTCTGGTGTCTCAATGCGACCGAATGTTACAGCTACACTGTTCAAGGTAGAACAGAAAAATCGAAAAAGAAGTGAGCATCAGAGGTGGATATATTGCTCTGACATCACCTCACCTGCTAATGCGCTACATGAATTGTGGAGGGATGTGGAATTAAGCTAGCTAAAAGCCATTGTTAATGCTAGCTACTGCTACATTCCCAAACAAGGACCTGATCTGCTGTTTTTACCAGCTGGCTAACAAAATAATCGCTGGTATATATGAATTTTTAAAATGAAAAGCAGGACATTAGAGATGCTCTAGCTCAGACGTTTCAAACTTGAGACCTTCCAGGCCAAAAAGCTGTGGAGATTAGCGATTACCCTCATCTAACACACTGAATTCAGTTCATGAAGGCCTCCCTAATTATCTGATGAGCTGAATCAGGTGTGGGTAATGAGGTAGTGTGCTGTGTCTTGGCCCATGAGAACTGGAGGACTTTTTAATTGAAATAAAACCACTCATAAAGCATCTAAATCTCTGTATAAATAAAATGTCAATACTAGTATACCAAATAGCAAATTAAAATCGCAGTATTGAATCGGAATTCTCAACATTGCATATATGAGAGGGAGAGTTAAATGTAAACAAAGACATTGCCATTTTACATATTACATTTTCATTTTAGTTTTGATACTGATATGCTTCCATATTCTTTATGTTCTTCTAAAAGCCAAAAAATAAATAAATAAAAATGACACAATTTTTATTTATTTATTTATTATAGAACACCAAGCTGCAAAGAGGGCAGAGTTTAAATTCAAACTGTCAGAAATTCATAAACACTAGATGACTGGCTTACCTCAAGAGATCTTTATCCTTGATTACTCTTACTCTTCAACAAGCTGCTGACAGGGCACTAACAGAGATATCAATAAGCTAAATATATACAAAATCATCATTTATTGGACCTTTTGTATTGGGAGGTGTCTGTCCCAAACCTTAAGCCACAAATTGTGAAAATAATATATTTTTTTCCAAAAAGCTACTCAAACTAGGCTAAAACTGCCAAAGCCTCTAAACTAGCACCTTTGACAAGGCTTGCTGGTTTGTGTGGGGTATTTGGGTGAGGTTGTCAGTCCTATGATGTCAATACCGTGTGCAGCAGTGTTAGCTTGAATGTAGCATCAGTTGTATTTCAGCTCTTAACAACCTTAAACCTGTACACAGTGCATAATTTGTAAAACATGAGGTAATGGAACACCAAGTTTGAGGTGATCCAGCAGGCAGGCATGGAGGGAAAAGGTCCCAGAATGTATAGATAAGCAACAGTGCTCTAAGTGCTCCACCTAATACAGTAGCATTCAATGCCATAAAATAGACCTAGCGTCACTATGATGACCGCAGTACAATGATGCAACCAAAACATCTCATTGATGCTGTGGGATGACTGGAGGTGTCAACAGAACATTTACAGAGTGTTAAACTAGATTAGATTAAGTGACCCTTATTAGTCCCAAAACGGGGAAATTTCACCTCCGCATTTTACCCATCCGTGCAGTGAAACACCACATACACACTAGTGAACACACACATTAGGGGGTAGTGAGCACACTTGCCCATGGTGGTGGGCAGCCCTATCCACGGGGCCCTGGGAGCAGTTGGGGGTTAGGTGCCTTGCTCAAGGGCACTTCAGTCACGTACTGTCAGCTCAGGGGATCGATCTGGCGACCTTCGGTCACAAGGCTGGTTCCCTAACCTCCAGACCACGACTGCCCCTGAAAGCTACACAAAACTACATTATTCTATTTCAACCACATAACACAAACATAACAACATTAATGCCCATATGCCCACATTTGGCACAGGGTTGAATTGTGTGAGCGTTGGGCCAACAAGTTTCAGAAACAGAAGCGACGATAATCTAAAAAAAGTGCATGGACCCATTTTGTGATTAGCAGATCATGGTCAATTGAAGGAAACCACCGCTCGCACTCTGCACTGCACTTGCAATTGGAATGCTGTTCACAGCAACCCACAACTATTTCAGTCCATCAGGAATTTCCAGTGCATTTGAGTCCCTGTACTCCCTAAAGGCCCAAATCACTAGCTGTTGTTGGCACTGGTGCCAAGCTAGCAACATCAACGTTGCCGCTAGTGCTGGCTTTGCCAGTGGTCTGGGGATCACCGTCCTCTGTCAGCCTACCTTGCTCTTTTAGAATCCTGTTCTGCCCCATCGCTTTTGCGTACTTGCGAGTCAGTTGTCTTGTGTTTCATAATTTCTAAAAGTCGCCAGTGGTTAGCACTCATGATGACCTGGATATTTCTAATATAGGCATGACAACATCTACAAAACGGCGACACGACTACAGGGATCTATAAGACCTGGCCGCTGTGTTAGAGCGATTAATAAAGGCACTGCCCCCTCTGCTGGCAACACCTCTCCACTGCTTCAGACTAGACTACACCAGTGCTTTAGAGCAGAGGTCTTCATCTCCAGTCCGGGAGGGTTGGGGTCCAGACCCTACTCAAAAAGCACCTACTAAACTTCTGATGAGTTGAATCAAGTGTGTTAGAGCGTTAATGCATTAGAGGAATGAAGATCAAGTCTGTGACAGTAAGAACACCAATGTGTTTCTGCTTCATGCACCTTTAGCCCTGGTTAACGTGTTGAGCAGTACAGCTTTAAGACTCAGCAGTCATGTCCTTTGTCCTGTGTCTTCCTGTCTCTCAGTCCCCCCCTCCATCCTGATGAACTCAACATGCTTTGTGTCAGCTGGAGGTGTCCAGTGCGTGTGTCGAGCAGAAGCAGAGCCCCAACCTAACATCTTCTGGATGGTTGATGGGAGCAGCGCTGTCCACCCACACTTCAACACAACGACTACATATGCTGGAAGAATAGCAGTGTCAGAGCTGACAGGACCGCCGGCCAGCAACGTGTCCTGTAAGGCGTCTAACGTTGTGGGGACAGACACTTACCAGATGCCTATCCTGCATTCAGTGTCTGACGGTAGTGCCTTTCTAAATGGTGTGTGAGTGAAAGAACACTAGACAGACCTTCAGTCAAACTGTGTTTTCACTTGTTGTACAAGAAGCATAACAGTAAGAATGCTTCTGTTTCTCTCTCTGTTATTTAACCCTTGTGTGGTGTTGGGGTCTGTGGGACTCATTTTCTATGTTTACCAAAAGAAAAAATGATGCGATTCATTATTATTTCAACCTCAGATTCCTCACCTTTGCTCATTTTCTGTGAAGAACATATAAAATAACACATTTTCAGTGACTCCACTCTGTTCACCCCCTACACATTTATATTACACATGTGGTGCTGGGCTGAACCCGCGGGGAATAAAAGTGTGGAGGTGCTGTGTCCTTCACTCTGTTCTTCTCCTACATGGCCTGCTGTTAGTGTGTGTGTGTCTGTGTGTGTATGTGTTTGTATATATGTGTGTGAGGGTGGACAACATGGACAGGCTGCTGACTGGCTACAGCTGCTAAAGGAGAACCCTACACTGGCCACGTGTGATATAATAAACATCTGGTATTTTTACATAAATTGTTATGACTGTATTGATTTAGAAAATAATAATATGGTGGGTCCACCAGACCACTGAGTAACAACAACATCAACACCACACAAGAGTTAAGCAGACAGTTACATTTCCAGCTTAATAAATGTTAATAGATAATGCTTTAAACTGATTATCGTTCAGTTTTAAGACAAGGTTGTCCATCACTCAAACATCACTCCATTTTTTTTTTTTTAAGTTTTCAAAATTCTATCAGGAATTTAACTGTTTTCTTCCTTTGAGAGGAGGACTTGAGGCCTACCTCATCATACACTTGCCTCATGCCATGTCTTGTTGCTGAGTAATCAACTTATGTGGTTTCCACTACTGTAAGACATACTTTAATCTATTAAGATGGTCAAAAATAGACAAAATTCACACTTCAGAATGGCTACTACTGTTTTTAGCTTTGCTAATGTACTTGTCATTTTTTATAGATCACAGTTTGCCATAGTGTCAGAAACCACATAAGCAAGTCTAAGAGTACTTAAGAATTTGTGACGTGTGTGATGATTTAGGCATGCAGTTAGCACAGTGCTGCTCGGTGACCATAAGTTTCCACGAGCTACATTAACCTCTAAGTTCCAGTGCAAAACTAAAGAAGTAAACTTAAGACACCAAACATGTGTTGCCATAATTACGTGAGAAAAAGTGGAAAACTGTATAAATTTAATTTTTGGATTCTTGCTTTAAGTCTTTTTTCCATCATTTCCAGGAAACTCTGGATCGATGGTAGCTGCTGTAGTGGCTGTGGTGTGCATCATTCTAGGAATTGCTGTGGCAGCTATCTGCTTGAAGAAGAGGTACAGTTTACAGACATGTCTCATAGGTCCAATTCCATTTCACCCCTTGCCCCAACCACTTAGCCCTTAGACCAGCAATGAGGTTGCTGAACTTTACCCTCCTCTGCTGTCACTGCAGACTGGCAGGGTCACCTACAGAGCAGCGCTAGTAGCAGTTAATGAAGTAATGTCCTTTTTTATTTGAGGGTCCCATTTCATAGGGAATATTTCAACCACTACCCCTTGTAACTCAGTTCCAAGGGGCAAAGTGACACTTGAAAACAAAGGATTGGGGTAAAAATAAGAAATTTGATTGGTTTTAGTCTTGCTAGAATTGGCTGACAGGACTGCTTACCTCCTTGGCATCATTCATTCTATTCTTGTTATAAATTATTACTGCCATCTTAACCAAAAGTCACAGTGAAAAATTTTTCACTTACTCCAGATTTTAGCCAAGACATGTTCGGTGTTCCAATTTTAATTCTTTATTTAAGCACTGGAGCTATGAGGCTAATGTTGCTAACGCAAAGTCAATAGTCACCCAAATCTTTGTTTGCAGCCACAAAACCTCTCAACTCAAATCACATCCAGGTCTTTATTAAGGTTGTTTTTGGTTTAGGACAGAAAATGACTTACTGTGAGCCATAAAAATGAACAAAACATCACCATGGAGATGGCAGCCATTTTAGACAACAGGTGTTGCGCTAAATTCTGACTCCTCTTAGTCGTACTGTGTCCTAAACCAAGTCTTTATGACCTTAATGAAGAGCTGAATGTGGTTTGACTGGGTTGAAAAGTTTTGGGGAGGTTCTTAGAAAAAACATTTTGGGTGACTATTGACTTCTAGTGTTAGTTAGCAATGTTAGCCTGGTAGCTCCAGTTCTAAACTACAGAAGCACAATTTGGACATCAGACATGTGTCCTCTTGACTGCATCTGGTGTAAGTGGTAAACTGTGTTCATTTGAATTTTCATTGAACCATTCTTTTAAAACTGCTAAACCGAATGTAAAACCCAGCAGCTTCCTTCAATAAGCCAATGAGTGTCATTCATAGAAGTAACAAGTTCACACTGTCTGTTTTCTGTTTTGCCACAGACGCCAGCAACCAGCTGACTCCACCTTCAGGTAACAGAAAGAAGTAAAAGCCGTGTGCCTGTTCAGATAGATAAATGAGTTATGATTCAGTTTCATCAGCAATGATAAAGTTCACTTTTTAAAGAAAAAGGAAGTAAACATTGCTCCATGTCTGCACGATGAAGGAATTTTTCAGCTGTATTTTGTTGTTAGACTTTGTGGGTTTAGATCACGTAGAGATTCCAGTGGAAAGAATATCGTCGTGAATCTTCATGACAATATCTATGCGAACAATGCAGCTGGAGAAGACATCTATACTAACACCATGGACACTCCACAGACAAACAAGGTACAACATACTGCATCACAAGAATGATGCATCATCTTATTATTAACCCCTTCATGAGCTGAGTCAGCTGTGTTAAGCCAACACAAACACTGATGAATGTAGTGCTCCTCATATAGAGGCTTGGAAGGCACTCGTCCAGAAAATTATTTTAACTCATGAGATCATGATAACTGTGGGACAAGCAACCATTTAAGAAACTGTTAGCATTAGCTGAATAGTTAGGGCAGCTGGTTACAGAAACATTAGTTTAAACTCACATTTGTTGACACGGCTCAGAAAACTGAAAAAATGAAAAAAATTAAATTACAAACCTTGCATAAAGTCAGTTCGGGGTGTTGGTGTCCTTTTCAATAAACCATCTAGTGCAATATAGTTTCATGCAGACCTCAAGCAAGTAGAGGTGCATGAAGGTTTTCCTATAAACAGACATCCTTATGTTACTGTGGCAGTTAAAACACAGTTCTCAAGTACAGGGGGCGATAGAGTACAAATCAGAGTGTCTGTAAATGGGATCTACTTATGTCGACCGTCTGTCGGACATCAAATGGAATAAAGAAGTGATATCAGTTATAGGTTTATACAACAGAAGTCCACAACAGAACCAGATTTTGTTGAACTGCTGGTCTGCCATGACAGATAACTGGAATAAAGCATGGTGGTGGCAGATAATTTCCAGTGAGTTGAAGCCACTTAGCTGTGTCTACCTAGACCTTTGGAGAAAAATATCCTGACTGGACAGTTTTCTGTTGGCCATTTCAATTTTCATTTTTGTCCCTTGGTTTCAAACTAAAACTTAACAAATGGGAAAATACAATACTTGCAGAGTTTAAGTCTAACAAACATGACAATTAAATTATATACAAATATTGAATATTATGAAACTAATGCTATTTGAGTTAAGTCTCGGTATCAGTCATGATGCTTTGTGTTTGTTAGGATGATGGGTACGACATCTACCAGAACTACTGAGACCGTCCTGACATCGAGACAACTGCTTCTTAAAGCCAAAGTTCAGTAGCCTTCAGCCTGCAATGTTCTGCATTTACTGGTGAAGAATAAGACTAAGAATTTAAGTGTTAAAGCTGAGCATTCATTTAACTCAACAAATTATCATGAGCAGGATGGTACTCACTCTCCCCTCATGGCTTAGCATGATGCCAACCAGTGCAGGTATGTGTAAGCTGACACAACAGAATTGTAAGTTAGTGTTCTCCTCCAAACGTGTTGAGCCGTTCAATGACATTTCATTAGCAGCAGTTTAAAAAGGATGTGCTATGATTCCCTCATTGTTTATTCATTTTGTGAACATGAACTATTAATTAAGCAATTTATACAACAATATAAAGAAATAGCAAAACAGTAAATAAACACTGGATTCCAAATTAAGCTCTATAATGCTATATCATTAGGTATATCCTGAGGTAATTCATTATTAGGTGTATCCCTGTAATGAAGGCACTCCAGAGGTGTTTGTATCCATTTTTTTACCCACTTACTCAAAAACACATAGTATCAAAATCACAAAGACCAGAATCAGGGTCAGTCCAAAAGAGTCAAAAACCAAAATAGCTTACAAAAAAACAGAAATAGTACCAATAAGAGTCTAAAAGGCAGAGTCCAAGTAAACCATGAATCCAGCAACAGTAGTGATACAAGGCTCAGTACACAGACAAACTGGCAATACTTCACAGAGAGCATGTGTTTGTGTAGGTCCTTATGAATGGAAGTAGATGAGCTGCAGGTGAAAGAGATCAAGGTGTAACTAGGAAACAGATCGATACTCAGGTGAGGGTGACCTCTGGTGTTGAGAGCGGGAATTACACCTGACTGTTTGTGTACACAGTTAAAAATTAGATTTGTAAATTGAATATATGTGTGTTTATAAATATATATATATATTATGTCCCCACTAAGTGTTGAATAAAAACTTTATTTTTTTTTACAACTAATGTTTTTCAAGCATTTTTAAAAGATTTTATATAAACTCCTAGCTATGTATGCATGTGTAACTTTGTGGTTAAGACATAATATTAAACTATTGACCAAAACATGTTGATGTCTTTTGTCTGTTGCTGTCACTATGAATAACATATTCATCATTATTCGAAGCCACACATAAGACCTTTACATTTCAATTTAATTAAAAATAAACAGTGATGTATAAGACTTTCACAAAACAATTACATGTAAGATATTTACATTTAAATTTAATGTTTTAAAAAAACAACATAATATCATTTAAATGATTGTCAGGAAATAATATTTTATCTAGTCAGAGGTGATTTTATTACAACTGTTGTAA